TTCCTCTAATGGGAATGTGAATTTTGTGAGCTCTTGATTGCTAGATGTAAATAACATTTTACATATAGGGACCAGTGATAAAACTCTTCTAAGGATTTCTTGTTCTTCTTTGTCCATGTCAGAAACTCCTTGCTTATCCACAGGCATAGCACTTGGCCAGCATGTGACAAGAATCTCCCTAAGAGGCGTCACAATTGTAAAGCCAATGGAATGGAAAGATGGACTACATTTTCTGATTTCCCATACTTTAACACTTGTTATGTTTAAATACGCTTAAAGGCCTAGAGAATCTCTGATTGGGTGCATTAAGAGGAAATAAGTTTGCTCTTTAATTGCATAATCTTACTGGGTACTAATGTAATTCTCTCTTCAGTGCAAATGAGCTTAATGTTTTTGTTACTTTAATATATGTTTGGTGGGATAAAAGGTGTATGATGTTGTTTTGTTTTTTTTTTTTTTTAAACTCCTGGAAGCTTTGTGACTCTGTTACTAGCTTGCTAATAAAATGATTAGCTGCAGTACTGAGCTGTAGTTAAAGGCATCCTAATACACCCTGTAGTTTTGTAGATGGGATTATGCATTGAGAACATATAGAAATATGACTCTGGGAAACAGGTAGAAAGTGAGAGGATGCAGTAGTTAAAATTGTATGCAGTACTTTCTTTAGTATCGGCAATTAATTGCAGGCAAAAACAATCCTATTAGCTGTTTGCAGAACTCAGGTACTTCAAGATGCCTTGTAATATAGACTCCTAATTGATTTTATTATTCTTTCCCTCTGCACCAAAGGCAAATTCATCTCTGCTGTCTCTTAGTTTGTATATTGTTTTTTCTTTGCTGTGGTGAAGATGTCTTTCTTCCCAAGTTTATTGCAATACATTTTGCTTTTTCAAATTCTATTTTTAAGCTTCTTGTAGAGTTTTTCTCCTCAAATATTATAATGTATTTTAAACGTGTAGTTGAATAATTCTGCATAACATTCAGAAGTGCTTGAGCTGATTTGATATCAGGGCATCATTGCAATAAACAGCCTTTGGTCTCAGTTCTGTCCTTTTTTGGGATGTAAGTTCAAAACCCATATTTCTTTGGCAATGAATCAGACTTCAAGAATGCCATCTTCAGTCATGTTTAGCAGGCAGGTTTTTATGTTGCTAGTATTCCTGGGCAAATAGTTCTAAGTAAAGAAACTGCTCTGAATATACTATCCATAAAATACAGAATTGTAGAATTATGCTTTGCATCATCAAGGAAAAATGAATAAATAACAAATGTCAATAAAAAGCCACTCAGTCTGCAAGCCTAGTAATATATCTTGTAAAAATAACAGTACATATTTATAAATGTGCTCAGAAATTCCCACTCTGTTGCAAGCATGATGATTACAGCAAGAGGGGTAAGAATGATCGGAATTGGACCTAGGTTTGGCCGAGTCTACAGAAATAGAGCAGTTACTTTGGAGTCTGTTTGTATGTACAAAAGCAGAGGTTTTGTTCCACAACAAACACCCTTGTGTTTAAATGTAAACTCTGAAGCTCTGAAATTACATAGACATGAGCATGTTCAAAAGCCTTGCTGATCTCAATAGTTAAATCTTGGTAGAAATCATACACCTGGAGTCATGCAGATTTTGCAGCATCCTGCTGTATCCTTTTATGCTCTGGCTACAGATATCCTTATTTACGATGCTCTCCTGAACTGTACTATCTCTTTAGGGTGTCTGTAAATGTGTATTGTGATTCCTCACCAAATTGAGGAGGAAGGAAGGTAAAGGAATTTTTTTACACTTGTGATACTTACATGAGAGTTGTATCATATCTACTATTCTATTGAGAAGAAATGAGAACTTTAAAATGAAGAAACATATTTGTAAGTCTAAAAATGCACATTTTAAAATATATTTTGGTACTTCATGGCACAAGTAATGATTGGATGGACTTGGGCAGTGGGGCTGTCAACAGAGAGCGCTGAAGAAATCACTTCAACACTGAACAATTCCTTTGCTAGGTCAGATTTGTAGTTATTGTGGACGTTTCCTAGTGCTAGCATACAAAAGAAAAGAATCCTTTGTCAGTGAAAGCATCCTCTAATTTGAAGCAGCAGCAACTGTATTGCTATAGTCAACGGGATAACAGCTGGCCCTGTCAACACTGCCGTACAAGCAGAGCTGTAGTGTTAGAGGTTTGGTTCTCATTTACAGCAATAACTAGCATCTGAGTCTCTCACTACTTTATTCAACAAAATTAACAGAGACACTTTAAAATACAAATGTTGTACATAAAAGAAGATCATAAGGAGGAAACCAGTGAATTTAATTTAGCATTTTACCATAACTGTGTATTTAGAGACCAAGAATAATTGTGCTACTTTTTTTTTTTTTTTTTTTTTAAACTGAAGTCACATTTTATAAACATCTTAAAATTTGCAACAAGCATTGGCTCTTTGCAGAATGAGATGTTAAACTGAGGCTTTAAAAAAGCAAGAGACATCTCAGTTAAGGTGCCAGATGTTTCAAAGCTACAGTAGTGTTTATTTCACTATCTACTTCCAAATCATAATTTACTTACTGATAAGTTGATTGCCACTAGAGTTATTACAGAATCGCAGAATCACCCGGGTTGGAAGGGACCTCAAGGATCATGTAGTTCCAACCCCCCTGCCTAGCAGGGACACCAAACATACACATTCGGATCAGGTTGCCCAGGACCCCGTCCAACCTGGCCTTGAACACGTCCAAGGACGGGGCATCCGTCCTTGCTGGCTCATGTTCAGTCTCTTGTCCATCAGGACCCCCAGGTCCTTCTCTGCCGAGCTGCTCTCAAGGACCACTCCTCCCAGCCTGTACGGGTGCCTGGGGTTCTTCCGGCCCAAATGCAGTTATTGTTCAAAAGTAAATTAAAAGTTATGGCAGACTTTATTAAAAGGCAGTGTTTATGCATTCAACTAAACCTGTTTTTTTGTAGCATTTGTCTCACCTTTATAAAAGGGTTACAGATAAAGGAAAAGTAACATGTTACATCCCATGTCAAGTGCAGCTGTTCTTGAGACTAGCAAATTGCTTTGTTACCTGAATCTTGTTTCCATTTAGAATGAAACCATTATTGCTATTATTAGTAGTAATAATGCAATATTTATTAATAAAGTAGTAATAATTTTGGACGTATTCTGCCAGAAGATACTACACTGGAAAACTGAAAGCAGTTTTCCCCCATGGATGAGCTTATTTTGAAGTCAGTTAATCTAAAAAGCCAGATGCTGGGACACGAGGTTGTCGGGGAAGGTGGTCAGGGAAGAGAACGTGTTCATGTGTCAATGTTAGCTTGCCTGTGCCCTTCTCTAGGAGGAAAACAATATTGGTTTTTTTTTTCGTCAATAAAGGGTGGGGACTGGATGGAGGAGGAAAGTGTCTGAGTACATGGAAGAAAAACGCATTAAATAAGGCATCACTAAGATGTGTATAATTCATGTGCAGGGTATATGATAATACAGGAAGAACTGGACCAGAAATGGCATAGCATATTAAGTTTTCTCACCGCTATTATTACTGTACCTTTTGCTGTTACAATATTGGTGTCTGAAAGCAGCTTGTTTCAACTTGCAGAGCTGATGGCATGCTGGATGTCTTCCCCAGAATATGGGTGTCATTGGTTAAAGTGCATCTGTTGCACTTCATCTGATACTAAAAATATATTCTCCGTATTAGTTGTACTTCTACCTGCCAAGAAAAGAAATGCATAGCTTACTTTTCTGTGGTGAAACAAGGTGGTTTAGACACAGTTTGTACAATACATGCCAGAAACAACAGAGAAGCCTTTAATTGAATACTTCCATATATTTAGGTGATCTCCTGCAATATATTACTTCTACTGGCTTCTGTCCCTTTTGGGTTGCAGATAAAAATGTAATTACAAGAAGCTAACAGAACTTCATATTTTTTTTTTTATAGGTGAAACCATTAGGTCAGCCTTTTTCAGGTTGCTTTTGTTAAAATTCTGTTAAGAGGGGTAGGAAAAAGTAATACTAAAGGAAAAATACTTCAATTTTAGTAGTGTGTTTTTGGCTGTATGATCTAAAACATCGAATGTCATAGTAAAACTATCCATTAAAATGCTGTTGCACATTAAGTAGATTGAAATTAGTGTTATCAGTTTCCTCTGAAATGTTACAGTTTCTGTAACCTCTTTGTTCCAGTCCTTTTAGGTAACTTAGAATTTTTTTCTTTTAAAAAGCATCCCATTCTTGGAGGAAGTTGATCTGTAGTTTACAAGCGAAGCTGCTTAAAATTGATCACTTCAGCAATGTTGTGCCACAAAAGTCTTTTGAAAGTTTTTTTTTTTTTAAATGACACTGTTTTACAGAAGCCTTTGAACAGCTCAAAATAGAATCGTTTTTATTAACTATGATTTTGCTCCCTGTATGCCTCCTTAAAACTGCTTTCTTTGAATGTTTTTAAACATGAAATCAACAATTGCTTTGTTCCATTATTGAATCCACAGAGCTAATTCTGGCAGTAAAGAGAGACACAACAAAATAAAAATGCAGGGCGTAGTGGGGAAACACAATCTGAATGGGATTCTAGCAGGGCCTGGAACAGACTGTTATCCAGCTTTTCGTATGGCTCTGCCTTCAGTAGTACTACAGACACTGCGTAAAATTGTAGATATTTTTATAAAATATTTATCCGGTACTGCCTGTGTCACTTACAAAAGCAAATCAGTTTAGCTTTATGGTATACAAGGATTTTCTTCATTATCTGAATACTGAAATTATTGTAGGTTAGATTAAGGCTATTAGAGATGGTTTAAATGATTTAAAAACAGCGTTTATTAAGCTAAAGTAGAATTCTTCCTTAAAACTGTTGAGGGGAGAGAAGGGAAGGAGGAGGAATAGTCTTGAGTTTTAGAGCAGCTTTATTTTATTTCTGATCTTTTTTTTTTTTTTTTTTTTTTTAAATCATACATTGCAGTGACTAGAACTGTGTGTGTTCTCTGCTCTTTCCATAGAATGGCTTGGGTTGGAAGGGATCTTAAGGATAATCTAGTTCTACCTCCTCTGTTATAGACTGGCACGCTTCCTGCTGTTGCTGTCATTTCAAGGCAGCTGCCAGAGGAACCCAGGAGGTGACAGAGGCCTGGGATTGGCGCAGGGCCTTGAGGAATGTAGCTTGCAGGTAAAAATGGTACTGTGCATTCAGAATGTAGTTACATTAAACATAATTTTAAAGCTTTAGAATGATAAATCTTTGCCAAGCATGTTTCACCGAAAATTAGAAATAGCAATGATGATATCAGAATATTAATGATGCTTTGTCTTTAGTTGTAAGATTATAGTGAAATAATACTTCTAGTCATGACTTATAGATCCCAAGTACTTCAGTTCTTGTGGAAGAAGTGCAAGCTTTTTCATTTACTGACTTCATAAAGACAGCCCTTAAAAGATCAAGGTCAACTTTCTCTAATGTTCTGATATTCAGTGGTGCCATAGATGCACATGTCCTGCCTTCTTTAGAGCTCCTTGTGTACAACTTGACCAAAATCTGGGCTGAAAGATACTGAGAAGCAAAGGTTTGGATGGCTCTTGATGTTTTCTTGGAAAGGGTTAGAAGTACTTTGTCAGATAGATGAACCCAGTGTCAAGTAGCTGTTCTTCTGTTGGTTGGTTCAGGTGCGTAAAAGGTGAAATTAAATACCAAGTGGTTATTTTTTGAAAAGGAGTTAAGGCAAGAGTTGAATTCAAATAAAACTTTAAACCTGGATCTAGGCTTGTAACAAACACCTTTAATTGTGGAAAGTTATTTCTAAAAGTCTTTAATTACTGGAAAATATTAGTGGTTGAACTGCATATTCAACATTTTAATCATAAAGGCAAGTTTAAAAAAAACTAAAAAATCAGTCTATTTTTTGAAGCTATTTTAGGATGTTTACAACACTTAAGTAAAGATATCTTGGAATGTTTTACCTTATTCTTACCTACCAGGATTTACAAATAATATCACTTAGCTGCATTTTTCTTACTCTGCCAAAAGTGTATTTCTATCACCAACTCCCTAATATGCTGTAAATGTGATATTCAGTACAGTTGCTAGTAGTGAAAATGGATAGCTTCTAGAGCTAATTATGTTGCTATTTTGCTTTTGGAAATAACTGTTGGCCTTTAAGAATCTGTGCATAAATAGAGGAGAAAAAAATGTTTGCAATATTTTGTTTAATTTTGATGACTAGAGTCTGAGTGCCAGGCTAGTATCAGTGCTGTTGAATTGTTATAGCAAAATAATTGTTATTTTTATGAGAGAAAAAAAACATCTAAGGCCTTACCACAATAAAGTCAGCCTAAAAATAAACCAACATATGAATACTGCAGTATACAAATAAGGGCAATATCGCTGTTTCTGGATAAAGCAAATGGGTCTTATTTGGCAGAGATCAATATGATTGTTATTACATCTTTACATATCTATTTTGTATGAATTTCCTTCATTGGTAGTGATAAAATCTAAGCCATGACAGTAGCCCCTAAACCGAATTGTCAGTCCTTTATTTGCATGTTAACTTTAGTCATTATCTCTGGATACATAGTATCTAGCCTCTCTTGGTCATAGAGGAATTGTAGGTTCATAGTGTAAGGAAAGGAAGCATAGTTAACACAGAAGCTAGATGGTTCCAGAGAACTTGTGTTCATATGTTTGGCTCTAGGTATTCCTTTCATATGCTGAAAGTGACTGGGTGTAAAATTAATTGAGTTTTCACATGCCATCTAATAATACTTTACTCCCCTAGGGTTCTTCTGCAACCCAGTCTCATCTATTTTCACCAGCTTCCACTCACAAATGCCAGAAGACCAGCTTAATGCTAACAAAGTGTCTAGCCTGGCAGATAAACCCTCAAGGAAGCAAAAAGAATTATCTATATTAGAGTGGCATTTCAGAACTAATCCCATACTCCAAAAAGTGGCATATTTGGGCCTAGAGATCTGCATTAAATAAGCAGGAGGTAAATTTGCAACAGAAGACTTATTCTGTCCTCCCTGAAGGAGTCTGTTATTTGAGAAGCCTTGTCCGGTAATGTGATGTGGGTCTGAGGGTGAGCTGAAGTACTTCTAAGTCCAGTGGGGATCAGATAGCGTCATCTTGTTTGATTTCTTTTTATTTGTTCTGCCTTTGAGTTTGTAATATAAGAAAGAATAAACTGATGAGGTCTTCTAAAGCTGCAGGATTTGGGAATTTAGATATAGGAGAATTGTTTTCTATTGACAGTGCAGCAGAGAGAAAGGAATCGCCTACCTGGTAAGGAAGCTGAGATTCAGTGCACTAATTATAGCTAGGAAGAATTATCTAACATTATCCTTTCAAACATGGTTCTCTGAACTGTAGCTCCCATGTTTTCCATTAAAATGAATGTTGAGGTATCTATGGTAATCAGTCTGTATAGTAATCAATATTGCCTGAGTGTAGCACCTCCAAGGTTACATGCTGCTCTCTGACATGTTTTCTGGTTCTGTGACAAATTCCTAAATTGGGTGCAAATGCCAACTCAAGTCCAGACTGATTTTTGAAATAGACTTTTCTTAGAAGAGAAAGATTGTACTGTATCATAGCTAGTACCGGCTTTAGCTTTTTCTTGAATTAAATAACCAACAGCACGTGAACCAAAACATTGTCCTATCATAACATGGCTTCTATTGTGTATTCAGTTCAGTCTTCAAACATTATCATTGTATTAATATTTGGCTTAAGTATTTCATATTATACCTTTCCCTACCTACCTATGAGTTGCAGCAATTCCTGGATGAATTTGAGAAATTGAGTATTCAAAAAAAAAAAAGTGCATATAGAAGAAAAATCCCAAGTATTAGTGGAGGGCAGAGCAGGAGTAACAATGCTATAACTCTGCACTTCATTTTTAAGTGAAGTTGCTTTTCTTTAACAATGTTTCTTGTTTTCGTATGTTTCTGAAGCCTCTCACTGCCACACTTTACTAGAGAAAGAAATATCAAAAGAGTTGTTCTTGTAGATCTTCTGCTCTAAAGAGAACAAGAGATTTTTGAGAATTCTGTGGGAGTAATTTAATCTTAGATGTTTCCTGAGTAATTTTGCAGACACAAGAGGGGTGGCTGGTTCCGATTAAAGCCAGAATAAGAAGTTAAATATAGGCTGTACTTTGATATGAAATCTTCAGAGCCAATACTGGGGTAACCAGTTTTTAGCTATTTGCTGTCTGATTATGCCCCTGCAGTGTGCCCCTTCAGCTGTATCAGTGCTATCATATGAGAATTGAATCTGGGAACTGATCTAGGTTTTCTTAACAGAATTTTCTTGCAACAGAAAGCTGGGAAGGTTAATAAAAGTATGGCAAAACTTAACCCTTTTTGTTACAGACCTCTTCATATTTTCAAATAATGTTGGAAATAACTTTATTTACCTGTGAATGGCTAATTACCTTATTCATGGAGTGTATGTGCAGCAGTGTAAGAGTATCTCTTCTTTTTAATGAATTCTGATTGCAGATTGTCTTTTATAAGAAAGTGGGAGTTAGGTCTTCCACTGGCTGAATCAGCTTTGATGCCATGAATCATGTGGTCTGAGCAATACACAGGTAGGACTCTTCAGATGGTGGTGTGAGGTATAAAGGTTCTGTTCCAGGAACTAGATCCTAGTTCAGCTTAGCAAATATAGTGGAGTTCTTAAAATAGTCTGTGTTGAGAGTGCTGAGTAGAAATAAACTAAATAAACCTTTCTGTATGGCTCGTTTAGAACACCAGGATCTTGTGTTTGAATGCCTGAGTCCTCATCTGGATTCATTCAGTAGATGTGGATTTATGCAAGATGCTGCCTATTTCCTACCATTTTTTTAAAATAAACTTTCATAGAGCGAGAAGTTTATAGGGAGCAATAGTTTTTTAAATGTGTTCTGATTAATAGGGACTACCCCCTGCCTTGCTTGTTTGACATTTGAACGTATCTGTTATTTAGTCCTAATGAGACAGATCTCAGCAAGAATCCACAACTGTTAATAGTTATTTCTAAAGACTTATTAGTATGGCTATTTGATACTTGAACAAGGTTGGGAGGTTCTTTTTGTGCCTAGTAGTATTGCAGTGATGTAATAAAACGCAAAGTCAAAATGATTGCATTAGGGACATGATACAAATATATGGAAACTCAGATCTCTGGAAAACTGTTCTGGCTTCAGACTGACTGCTGTTCTGGATGATTATCACTTTCCCTGTGAAAAGGCAAGAGAAAATAGTTCAAGCAAGTAACAACTTCAAAATTTGCTTCCTTAGAGTTTCACATCATCTGTGTATGGAAGAAACAATCAGGTTAACACCGAAATTTAAACATAGAAGAGATGTGTTCTCATGATGTCAGTAATAGAAGTATGTGTAAAGCAGCATGTATATTCTGGAAAGGAAGCTAACCATTCAAGCCAAGAAACATAGTCTGGTACAAATCTTATTAAAAGTCCAAAGCACTTGATGATATACAGATAGGTGTAGCATAATGGCAGGAAGAAAAAGGAAAGGGGGGTTGGGCAGCTGTCTGAACCCTGCATTAGTAGAACCAGACAGTGCCAGCTAGTGTTTTTTATCGGGAGTAGCAAAAACAGACAGTAATACAGTTCTACAATGCTATTGCTTTGTTTTACTCTGTCTGGAATCAGCACAGTCTAATGCTAGCAGGTTTCTGTACAGTGAGCATCTGGCACGAGTAGTGAACATAGAAACAGTGTGGGAGATTCCTCAAATTATCAGGAGTTCAGATCGTATTTGGAGAAATGCAGACTTATTGTCTTAAAACCACTGCAACTATAAAAGACATGGTGAAATAGTCAAGACATTTTATGGGAAGCATGCAGTTAGTTTCTAAAGATCTTCTGGGGTAAGATGCAAGAATTGATTGTCAGTCCCTCTAAAATGCACTTGGGTAGTAAAATGCAGAGAGGAAATAAAATCAGTTTTAATAGCTACATGTTCAGAGTAGTCATGATCTGAAAGTAGCTGCCTGTTTCCTGTGACGCAGTGCACAGTGCATAAGCAATCAGTAAAACCTTTCTGGCTTAATTTAAAGGACTGTAATATTTCCCTCTGGTTTATTTATTGATTACGTTTCATGTTGCTGGGATAAACACATAATACAAGAGAAACTAAAATACCTATTTATTGGCAAACAAGTAGAGGCCT